TATTAAAAGATAAATAAATAAATAAATAAATTTTAATTACGATTTTAACAAAAGGTTACAGAAACGTTAGATTTTCATTCATTCATTGTTGCACATTTTACCCCCTTTTCCTCTTTTCCCCTTCCCCCAGTTCACTTTTTAAAAATATTCGTTTGTTGTTGCACAATTGAATTTCTTTTTTTTACAATTGAATTTCTTGACTGCTGTTTCGTTTCTGTGAACACTGATTGTGGTCCATGTCAAACCTCTGGCAACTCGTGTGTTCATTTATCATGATGTTGCTTACTGGTCCAGTTGTGAGGATTTATATCTTCTACATGTTGTGATGTAATCCATGCTGAAAGCTGTAGTCTTTGATCTTCATCCGAAGATGCTTTAAGTTGTCTTTGCTTTTGGGGAAAGGGTGTGTCTTCGGCATGTCACAAGTTATTAATGAGCCTTCTCCCAGTCCTGATGCCACATTCGTCACTGTTGCTATGTGATGAGAAAACTACTCCCTTTTGTGATAGGTGAGGAAACACCAGAAAAGATGGGATAACTTTCTTAGCACTCTACAGAATTAGGGAGCTAGGACTTGAATTCCGTTTTCTGACTGCTTTGGCCATAGTGTTTTACACCAAATTTACCTAACAGCTTGTCTGATCTGATGTGTCTTAGCAAGCACGGTACGTCTCACACGGCTTGGCTTCTTTGTGCTCATGGTAGCGAGCTCTTGCATTTAGAGAATTACCTCTAGTACTGAAACTCTGATGTCATTGCTTTCCAGGTTGCCAGCGTACTTTGTTGTTCCCATCTCTCTTCCAGAAGAGGAGATCGAACACTTCCAGGGCCACGGCATACCAGTAAGTGCACATGCGACCCCTTCAGAGCATGGATTGCTCATTGACCCATCATGGCAAAATTACCTTCCGTAAGGCCTTTTGGCTTTTGCTAAAGAGCTAGAATGCAAGCCAGGAGTGATCCGCAAATATCCTTGGGACTCTCCAGAGATGATGCAGAAGCCTCTAAGATAAGAGGCTCCCCGGGCCCGGAGCTCTCCAGTCTCCACAAATGCACTTGCATTTTCAGCCAAGACATCTTTAAAAAGCTTTCAGAGGATTGCTGGCCTGTCTGCTGTTGAAAGCCTGATTTAACACCTCAGCCACCCTGAAGCTGTGCCAGCTGCTCTCAGTCACGGTAGTCGGACTCAAGATTCCTTTGCGCCACAGCTATTATTTTTGGTTGGGGCGTGGTCTTCATCCCAAAGACCATGTAGAGCACGTCCTTAGTTTTCACAGAAAAGAATGGGATTTGCTCCATATTTAATGTGTCACTGATCAGAAGAAGATGATTCTGGCAGTCAGCATCACTAACTGGTGCTTGGGAGTTCTGTGTCTGCAGGGCATTTAGTAAGGAGTGCGCGTGA